TCCTCCTCCTCCTCCTCCTCCTCCGTCCAACTCTGCTCACTCATTCTATCCTGCTCTTGCATTGCACACTTGTGAAACTTCTGCCCCTACCCCTCCTCCCTCCTTCCTCTCCTTCTTCTCCTTCCTCTCCTCCCTCCCTCCCTTCCCTCTTTTCCTCTTCGCCCTCCACTCCTCACATCATATTAGGTTCTGGTCGTTCCCAGCGGATGGACTACCTCCGAGGGCAGCGCGTGTAGATTTCTCCCTCCTATCCTTCCCATGTCAATACATTCCGAATGACTCACTGTCTCCGTCCTCCTCCTCCGAGCCCCAGTGAGTCGTCAGGCTCGGATCACAGTGACTAGGCACGGTAGTTCCTTCAAGGCTCCGAGGCTTCCTCACAGACGGTTGTCCGTCTGTTGTCCGTCACAAATAACAATTCTTGCTCCACAAGAACCCTCCTCGATCGTTGGAGAAGAGTTGAAGGGGCTTGCTGTTGAGCTTGATTCGAGTCAAGCATGATGACGCAGAATGACAGCCGAGGAAGAGACGTCTGAGCTAAGAGCTCTCCCCTTAATGTCCTTCCTCCTCCGACCTGATTTCTTTCATGCTGCGACTCCGCTATATCGCAGTTCAGGATGTGTGAATCCAAACAAGGTCAAACCCCCGTTAAAATTAAGTTACTAGCAAAAGAGAAAAACATCTAGAGTAAAGCCTTGTCCTAGCCTTTTTGAGCAACTAAAAGTCTTGCCTCGTGTCCTAGCCTTAAGTCTTGGAATCAATTAGGAATTTGAATCCATCCCTTCCTGGAAAAGTGAGACTTTCGGGCGCTTTCTGCGCACATGGTCTTCTAGCTCCTAGCAAAGCAAAGGCGTCAGAGGAATCACCATCATCATCATCATTCTCACAAATATCATCATCATCATCATCATCATCATCATCATCATCATCATCATCATCATCATCATCATCATCATCATCATCATCATCATCATCATCATCATCATCATCATCATCATCATCAGCGTCAGCGTCAGCATCATCATCATCATATTCTTCATCATATTCTTCATCTTCTTCTTCTTTTCCATCATCATCATCCTCATCTCCATCATCATCATCATCATCATCATCACCAATATCCTCTGAAATATCATCATCATCTTCATGATCATGATCATGATCATGATCATTTACGTGAGTAAAAGTATTATAAAACGTCACAGAAAGGTTCTGCTGTTCACTGTAGTACAGTCACTGAGAGACCCGGGCCGGGCCGCGCACGGTGGCAGCCGCGGGCCCAGTGGCCAGCATGGCGGCACTAGTTCACTGATTTTTAACTTAACTTTGAGTAAAACGTTTACTCAAAGTTAACCTGGCAGGCGGCGACTCTCCTGATTGTCCTCGTACTGATTTTTAACTTAACTTTGAGTAAAGATCTTGAACATTGTCACTGGGTGGTGGCGGCGCCCGGACCTCTCTGTCAGGCAACAAGTGGCGGAGCCTTGAAGCCGCTTAGCTCTCAATGCAGGAAAAGAAAGAAGATGAACCGCAGGTGAGGAGGAGGAGGAGGAGGAGGAGGACTGAGGAGGAGGAGGAGGTACAGTATCGTACTGAGCTAGAGTTGAACAGATGGGAAGGCCTTGCTCGCTGCTGCACCAGGTCAGTCAAAGACAAGCAAGAGGATGCTAGGTACTACCCAACACCTGATTTCTTCAATCATCCCATTGATCTACTGGAAGTGATTGAAAGTGACCAGAAGACCTCACGGAGATGGGCGAGAAGCTCTGATGTTGATATCACATGGTGTTATCTGAGCTCGGAAGCGTGAGAGATGGCGACATTAACATCTTCGAAACAAAAGACCTGTTGTCCGTGAGCTGGCTTTGATCAACAGAACAATCAAAGTTGAGATCAAGACAGGGCACAGTGAAGAATAATTCCATCTAGCAGCGACTAGTGTCATCTACTCGAGGACCATTGAGAACATAATCTTCTTCCTCGACCAAGTTTTCATCAAGATTGATCGCCGATGATCGTCTAAAAGGACAGGTTGTTCCGATGCTCAGTCCTAGAAGTTTCTGGAGCTATAGGAAAGACAGCTCCCTCGCAAGGAAGAAGAAAAACACCCGGCAGAGTGAGAAAGTCGACTCCTACCTTAATGATGAGGAAGAGTCGGAAGCAAGAACACCGGACACTACCATTGACACGTCAAAGAGCGTTGTTGGCAACACTGACTCCATGGCGGAAGCCGGCGAGAGCTCCAAAGCTGAGCTCGTAGGGAGTGATGGAACAGTAAGTGACGGGGATGAGGAAGACAACAACAAGCCGGATCTCAGATCGAGGTTGCAAGAATCTTTCTACAGATCAGCAAGTTTGTCGCGGAGAGCAGAGAGCGTTTCCTTGCCGAGACCACTGGCCTTGACGTCTGGCAGCAGCAGCCAAGACAAGTTCACTCTGATCCAAGAGTTGACGCTGTCGAGGAAAGAGAACGAGGAGGTCAGCAGCAAGGCAGCAGCGATGGAGGAGAAAGTGATCGAGATGCATCAGAAGCTTGCAGGAGCCGAGCACCGGGAAAGGAGCATGAGAGCGTTTATTCGCGAGCTCAGAGACATCAACAAGGCCCTGCAGCAGCGGGTGACTTTCCTCGAAGAAACCATGAGCAAGATTTCTATGAGGGACGCGCAGTGGGAGAGAATCTGTAGTCGGCTGCAAGCAGATCTCAGCAAAGAGCAGGAACGACGAAAGTTGTTGGAGGCAGTCATCGAGATGGTGAGAGTGGTAATGAGAGGGGCAGACCTAAGGCTGAAATCATTGCAGGCACTCTCTGATGAAAAAGAAGCCTTGACAGTTGACGACAAGGAGGGCAACAAGGAAGAGAGCGGGCGTTCAAATCTTTCATTTTAGTTTTCCCGCAGTGGATGAAAGTGGATCTCATATTCCTCAATGTGCTCCTTTCATAAGAGATTGCCGAAAGCATCGGATATGATGCAAACTGACTTGATTGTCTTCAATGATTTGCCTTGGACGCTTATTGGTCGCAGATGACTTCAGTGATCTGAAGATACGTTAGCAAGAACATACTATCATGCCAGACCCACCTTTGCAAGGTCGGCATCGAGGTAGTCTTTCAATTCCTCTTGAAGGAGCCACACCTATCACGACAAGTCACAAGCTCTCTCTCCACACTCTTACACTCACATGGTCCTTGGCGATCTCCTTGACAGGAGTCAACGATCCCTCGATGTACTGTTCGAACAACCAAGTCAACAAACTCCGAAACAACAAACGCGCGCAAGGCAACAATCATGCACACCACCTCCCCAGTTTCAACAAAACACAAACATCATATGAGGCATTTCATACACGAAGGATGATTGCGTACCTGAACTTTGTAATAAAACACCCTCGACCGATCATCTCCAGTCCCTTTTTCACTGTCAGCAGGTAGACATCAGTCTGCGATCCTCTACCTCGGTCGACGTAGCCCATAGGACAGAACCCGACGGGAAACAGCTGAGCAGTATCTTGAACCTGTACATGTTGAGATCAAACGAGGAGAGAACAGCTGCAATGACATCACCAGCGTTGTCATGGTGCGCATAACAGCGTCTCGCATCGTCTCTCCCTCTTGTCTGCATGACAGTGAGGCAAACAAGAAGGAGAAGAGTGAACAGCATCAATCAATCAATTTTCATTGTTCCTCACCTCAGACTCTGTGGAAAGTTCCACTCAGTCTCGCCTTGTAGAATATCGGCAGGCTTGTTCCGTTGGATGACAAGGAAAACTCTCCGGTCCAGCCTCCTCCAGGCCGCACTGACAAGAATATCACCCACCTCACCATCAGTCTTGTGAGCAGAACCGTTTGTCGCCTTTCAAATCCGCCTCAGTCTTTCGGGGATACGCGGTTGCGATAATCTGCGATGCCTCTTGTCAAGGGAGCTTCAAGGCGTGAGGCGGGCTTGACCTCCTCGTCCGTCATGGCCTCGTACTCGTCTGCCTCTGTCTTGTGCAGCTCCTACGAAGCAAGCAATCAACAAGAAGGGAAGAGACTACTTGTCAAGACTCTACGTGCGGTTTGTATTCCATCTCAGGGGGCAGCCTCTTTCCTATAGCTTCAAGTTTCCGCATCTGCAAGTCCAACATGGCCTCTTCCCTACAAGACGCCATCAGTAGCTGGCGTATGGATCGCGCAAGAAGGAGACACGAGGCAAGACGCGTACCAGTCTCTCATGTCAGGAGTTATCAACGGAAGACGCTCAACCACCGCGGCTGCTACTATCTTCTTAGGGGGAGGCGTCCAAGTCTAACACTCAACGTCAAAGGTCTTCGCCTCTCCTCAATATGCAACGGGGAGTTACCGGGACGACATAGACTGGTTTGACGCGCTTCCAGGTCTACAGGATACATGCCGGTCAGTCAAGTTTCAGCAATTCCCATAGCAGATCACCGGCCTGGCCGCGGCCTCCTCTCCCTTACTGACGTCTGCGGCGGGAGAGCTCGACTGCGATGAGAGGGAGCGGAGAGGCTGCTAATGCTGCACGTCAGCCCTCGCTCGCGCGTTGGTTCGGGGTAATGGCACCTGGAGTGAATTTATAGACCTGCATCCAATGCCGACCAGGCTCCTGTACATGGGCAGATGCATGTTAGAGAGGTCCTACCTTCCTCCCATCCCTGTCCTTCTCCCTTCTTCCTCTATTACTATTGCTTTCAGTCTGATTCTGTCTTCACCTCAGCTCGCAGCATTCTGCCGTTGATTTCACCGCACCCGGTCTATTCGCTGCAACACTCTTCCACCCCTTCTACGTCCTCACTCCTCCGACCCCACTCCGGTTTCCAGAGCACTCTGCTCATCGTTTCATCACATTCGAATTCTCTTGCTTTCTTCCGGTTGCGCCTCCGCCTCCACCCGCTTCCTCCTTTCCTCCCTGTATTCCCACTCCCAACGTCCTCCTATCTATCATGCTGCTTCCCCTTCCTTGGCGTCGGCGCCATCCTTACCAACCTTCTTCCTCTCCTCCTCTCATCTCATCCATCATCATCATCTACCATCCTATCCTCTTCCTCCTCTTCCTCCTCTTCCTCCTCTTCCTCCCCTTCCCTCCATCGCACCTTCTTATTGCCAGCATCACGCGCGTCGCAAATCCTCGCAGATGTACCCCTCATCCCACCGCAGCCCCGCCTCACTCTGAACTGAGTGATCGGGCTTGTGATCGGGCCCGGGCCGCAGCCGGCCCGGAGCTCAAATTTGTGGACGCACACCTCTGACTATTTTTGTACATTCCCGGTGCACCGATAAATTCCTAGATGTATGTCTGAGAATGTTCCAGATTTTGATCAATTTATCATCAAACTTTGATATTCTAGTTAAATATTTCGAAACATCATTGAAATAGTAGAATTTGGGACCCTTGCACTCTATTTGTGGTGTACAAACCATGTTTGCCCTCGTTCGCCGCTTCCATGCTCTTCGCGTCTCCCTGCTCCAGCTCGAGCTCGGTAACCTCCTCCCCCCTCTTGTCCTCCTTCCCCCTCTCCTCCTTCCCCCTCCCTCTCCTCGTCCTCCTGCCTCTCTTCATCCTCCTCGTCCTCGTCCTCCTCCCTCCTTCATCCTCCTCGTTTTCCTCGTCCTCGTCCTCCTCCCTCTCGTCCTCCTCGTCCTCGCCCTCGCCCTCCTCCTCCTACCCCTTCTACAACATTGTCTATCAATTTCCTCCTCCTCCATTTCCTGCCGCAGACCTCTCGTTCTGCCTTATACCCCCCCCTTCATCTCACCCCACTCCTGTTCTGCTTTGCCCTGCCTCGTCTTCTTCTTTCTCTGATCCTGTTCCCGCTCGTCCCTTTCCTGTCTCGGCTCCACATGCTGCTTCCATTTTTCTGCTCAAACTGTGCGGGCGTTGAAAGCTTGTAGGACCCAACGGATATCCTATCAGCCCGATCCACGATTGTGTCGACGAGGTCCCTCCAGAGGAATGGCTGTCTGCATACACCGATACCATCGATCAGGTTTGACCTCCGTGTCATGTAGTCGCGCATGCACGTTGAGTTGAATCTTGTATGCTCTGTTGGTCAGTTCGTTTCAGCCTTTCCATGTTTCTCAGTTTGTTTCGTCGACTGTTTTTCTCATTTGCTGTAGGCTGACGCCATGAACGCCAACGGTGTCACTGCGAACATCCCAGAGTGGGCGGACAGCACTCCTGCTGGAAACAATGCCATCCGAATGTGCAAGAAAGGTGAGGACGGGAGAGTTTGCTGTGAATCATGCGGGAGGATCGGAGGACAGCGGAGTTTGATATGCAGCCGATGACAATGATGTCAGGTTACTAGAATGGGGAGCATATCTCATTGTTGGAAGATAGCATAACACGTCATGCTCTGTCTCTGCCCCATCTCACCTGTTGATTGTAGATCGAACATTTGCCGATCAGGTGCGGCACTGAGAGCTCGTACGTGCGGTGAAGTCGATCGTTATGAATGAATGCTGGACGATTGTTACTGCATTTGCCGCATCCTGTTTCTCCTCCTCCTCCTCCTCCTCTCTTCTGTTCAACTTCGCTTTTCATTTTCCTCTGTCCTGCACACTCCATCCTTCCCCTTCCCCTTCGTTTCTCCACTCATTCATCTTAGGCTGGTCCGTTCCTCTTTCCTGGTTGCTCACCTCCCCTCCCCCTCTCCCTCTCCCTCCCTCTCCCCCTCTTTTCCTCTCCCTCCCTCCCCCTCTCCCTAGCATACTTTCCCCTTCCTGTCTCCTGCATGT